GAAAGGTTTAAGGAAGCTAGTGGAGTAGTTTAACGTTAAGATTATATTTGCAATTCCGCCAAACTACCTTAAAATTGCATTAAATAAAATTGGCCAGGTTAACAGGCCTATTGTAACTATCCTATTTGGTTTAATCACATCCGTGATTTGGACACAATGTATAATTTGCATGGACCGTGCTAGTCGGCCGAATCATACGATAATTCGATGTGGTTAACTTGCACCATTGGGACTAACAAGTCGTGACCGAAGCACTTCGACCGATATTAAAGCTTCATCAGACAAACATTATAACGTCAGGCATGCTTAAAGAAGTTTGATCTACCAGCTGCCTACCAATAGATCTTGTATAATGGAATTAAGGTATGAAGAAATAACAATACCTTGTAAGCCTGTGAGTCGTCTGAATTGTAGTCTAAAAGCTAGTTAAGCTGATTAATTCTTTTCTGGCGCTAAAGCAAATTCATACTAAAGTTCTTTATAAAAGCTTGTAAAATTCTTGCCAAGAAGAGGGTATGAGTAAGGAGGCCCATATATCTTTCAAGCTGAGTTCGTGTAAAAAGATTAAAAGTAGAAATTCGTGGCCTTGTCGAAACACCAAAGTTTTGCATTCTATGTCATTCATTTTAGTGTATCGATAAGCTAAAGAAGTAAGCTCACAATAGCTCTATGGCAAAATTTTTAACTGTCCCGGTAAGAAAAATATGAATGTATAGAATGAAATAATCGAGGGTTTAAGCAAAATGCATGCAGAATTGGTCCAAAAACGAAACTATAGATAATTCTTAAGTAAGAACTTAGTCAACTTATGTCCCCTATGATGATTTAAGGGCTGATAGTTTTGTTTTCCCACAATTATATGAATAGTCCGTACGATGACAATGAATTTCACATAGCCTTACTTCCTACAAGATATGACATACAATTAAAACAAGGCACCACCCAAATTCCAATTTAAATTGTTTGATTAGTTCAAGCTATATGTCAACTTCGAAGCATGTGAGCGTATCTGTCTGTCTATGTTTATGCGCCTTCGGGTGTTCATTTATTTACAAAACCAGCAGTAATGGCTCAACGTAATTAGGACAGAAAAGTAACGCCTGTTCTCGGCCATCGAGGTTTAATGGCCGCCATCAAGCATATTTTTATACATACTTGTATTAGCCATCACTCCGATTGTGCAAGGTCGGGAACACGTCAGGCTAAGTTAGTGAGCATTTTGTCTTTATGCGAGAGAGAAAGAGTGAGCTAAAAAGTACACATTAGTGATCGCAATTAGAAACAAGATAAGAAATACTAGTTGTCACCTTTTTTCAGACGGCCAATACCCTCTATATCCTAGACTATTAATTGAGCATACTAGTTCTTACTTAACTTATTTATGCTATCCCTTACATTCCATGCATTACCATATCGGTTGGTTTCAATGGGCTATTAAAGTTTACGCCTAGCTGTATTATCAGTAAAACAACAAGTTTGATACCATTCAACCTAATATCCAATAGAAGTGGGTTGACCTCGTTGTCGCAACTTGGTCTTGTGCTCAGGGAGACTATGTAGAACGCACCGAGTCTCCTCGTTGTCGCAACTTGGTCTTGTTGCCAGGGCGACTATGTAGAACGCACCTAGTCCGAAGTCGTCTGCGTAGTTGTCTTGATTCCCAGCATCTGAAAGTGGACTTGATACATCCTCAGACGTTTCGCCTGCATCGTAGTCGGCATCATCAGCGAGCCTTGCCATTCTCCGCACCAAGATACAAACTGGTCAAAGAGACAAGTGAAGTCAATCCCTCGACAAACCGTTCTGCTGGAAACGGTTACACTATCACTTCTCATTCTGTGATTGTCTATCTATCTACTCTTTACCCTCTTATCCCACTTCCGTCCTATCACAACTTCTTATTTAAATCATCCAAGTGTGTGCTCTTTGTGGCAAACCTAGTGTGGCCTTATCGCACTTACTATTTACCCCTACCCCTCTCTTTCGATGGGCTTATCCCACTCGG